ATTTATATTATAATATTAATTAATATTTTTTAATGGTTACTTATAATTGATTATGTTTTAAAATTGGTAACATACATTGTAATATATTGCAGACGCCAGTTGAGGATTTTGGAGGAGACAACATTAATTATTGGCCTTATTTCAGAACATATGAGATATTTGATAGTCTTACAAAAGGGATAATGTTCACCTACCCACGGTGGGAACATGTTAATATGCCCACCGCTTATGTGGCATGCACTCATTGGTGATGTTAATATGTTTAAAAAAATACATCACCAATGAGTGCATGTCACATAAGCGGTGAACATATTAACATGTGCCCACCGTAGGTAGGTGAGCATTACTCCTTACAAAAGCTGTCAATTATGCAGTAGGTATGGCAACTATCTGTGGTTTTGAACTAATTATTTCAAAGCACACAAAGGGAGGAACATTGAGGATTCTGAGGTGTAACCGAGGCGAACGTTATCGAGGTAAAATATTCAATGTTGTTAATGCTGTCCTGAGACTTTCAAAAACAAAATATACCGGATGTCTGTTTGAGATGCGATTGAAAAAAGTGGCCGGTACGAAAGATTCCTGGAGTGTATATTTTCCTCTGGATGATCAGAAGGGATACCATAATCATCCGATGACTTTGTATCCCGAGAGTCATCGACAATTCAGCGGATTGAGTGATTCGTCGAGACAGATCGTCCGTGATATGACAGGTGCCCAGGAAAGACCGACGATAATATTGGCAGCGATACATGATAAAAACCCGTCTGACAACACGACTCGTCAACAGGTTTACATCTATAGGGTCAGCTTCGATCAGAGAGATTGGAGGGCAGAGATGTGACTTCACAGCTTATACATCTGGCTAGCCGGGCTAATTACATTGTTATCACCGATTCTGATAAAAACACACACACCTTGACACGTGTGTTCATGTCGCATCCCCGGGCAGCCCTTCTCTTCCAGGCCTATTATTGGTACGTCGGTATAGATTCGACATACAAAACCAACAGGTATGCTACGTTATAAAAAACAATTTAGTACGAATCTTAATTATTATGTCTGAGTAGGTACATTTTTTTATTCTTTGTTTGATTTTGTTGCCCTCATTTGCACAGGTACAAGATGTCGTTAGTGAAAATAATAGGGATGACACCGTGCAACAAGAACATCTTAATTGCATTTGCAATTCTAAAGGACGAGAGCCAGAACAGCTATGACTGGGTTCTGAAGCGTTTGAGAGATCTGATTGGTCCTGAATTACATCCTTCTGTCGTTGTCACTTACAAGGAGTTGGGGTTGATTACTCCTATTATGATTAATTTTCCAACGTCTACCCACCTTCTTTGCACGTGGCACATCAACAAGGATGTGGAACACAAGGTGTATAAACTCAGCTGGAAGAATAGTCAATTCGCCGTTAAGTTCATGCACGGCAGGTGTAAAAAGATCCTTGAAGCGACCACGGTGGTCGAGTACGAATCTGCCATGAAGGACATGCACCACCAGTACAAGGAGTTCCCTCTTGTTACACAGTATATAGAGCAGACGCGGTTAGTCCACAAGGAAAAATTTGTCAAAGCGTGGACGAATCACTTCCTGCATTTGGGAAACACCATGTCGTGTAGGGTGGAGAGTGCCCACGCTGTGTTGAAGCGGTGGCTTAACACATCGACCGGTTCGCTCGACACAGTGTGGGAGAAGGTTCACGAGGGGATTGAGTCCCAACACACTCAAATCAGGTACATTAACTTATTATGCTACACATATGTATTGTGCTATTAATGTATTAATTATAAATTCACTCATGCAATCTATTATCAGGACCACGCTGGAGGAGTCAAGGACCAGACAAAATTACCATTAAACTGGATTTCCGTTCTCACAGCTAACACTGAGGGTCTCGCATTATTGTTTGGAGTTATTGAACGAAAAGTATAAGCGGATGCGAGACTTGAGCGATGAGGTTACGACGCGCTGCGAGTGCGTACTCAGATGGACACATGGACTTCCTTGTGCCTGTTACATGAGTATGGCGTGCAATGTTGATGCCATGATTACGACGGATGATATTCACTAATTTTGGATAATACTTGCGGTGCCAGATATAATTGCGATATTGAATTGAATGCTTTTATTTTTTTTTCTTTGATTTTTTTGTTATACTTCACGTGCTGCTTTTTTTTATATATATAATTTATATGTAGATTATTATGTTTAATCTTTTAAATTTGGTTGTACGAACAGATCACCAGAGTAGTGCACGACCATCCACGAGTAGTGCACGACCATCCATGAGTAGTGCACGACCATCC